GGATCGTGGCCTTCCAGCCGCCCCTCGCCTCGCACCAGCCCCAGGCAGGGCTTTGGCTTTGGCTTTTCTCTGTTCTACCCCAATGGCACCGCCTGGCTTTCGGGCCTTCTACTTTTTAAGATGTGCACTGCCGGGATAGGTATTAGAGACCGTGAGAGCAAAAAAATCACATCTCACTGACGGCTGGGTAAAATGAGTTTTGTGGTGGTCCTTAGTGCCGGTGGGAAGACGTTTCTGGTCACTGCCACAGACACCTCCACGCCTGTCTGTGCAGGGAGGGTTAAGAATGGAAGAGCAGTGATTTCTCAGAACAACCAGCACTACAAGAAATTAAAAGGCAAGCAGAGAGGTTTATTGTTTTATCCAATACATACAATTACCAAACTAGCTTTTGCAATCAGGACTTTGAGTTCCCAAGGTGATGAAAGTGACCCCGGCAGGCTGGCTCACAGGGACAGTCTAATCTACAGATCAGAGGTGTCTGATACAGAGATCAGAAGCGTCTAATTTACAGATTAGAGGTTTCTCAGAAGCTGAGCTACTGTCCAGTGAGGGTTACATGTGCTCCTTTACAGCAAAAGGTTATGAACCAGCTAGATGAAAAGGTCATCTAGTTTAAGGCACAGCACTGTTGTGAAAATTGGCCCTATATAACACGGCACTTGGGTTTTCTACATTCTAGACAGTCCTAATGAAAACTGATGGAATTGCTCATTTTTTTGCTGGGGGAATTGCTTGGCCTTCGCTGCTGCTAATGAAGACAATACTGGCACAAGGAGCAGTGTGTATAAACCAGCCAGAAATAAGGCTGGAAAGATTTCTAGGGGAGAGATTGTGGAGAGACCCAACTGGAGAGGTGGTGGGGCATGGCAGGCTGGCAGGGGTGGCTGCTTGTGGTGGTAAGCAGTAATACAGACGCTATCCTCAAATCCAGGAAAGCAGCAGAATAACCCAGGAAAATCGTTAAGATTCCAGGGTAAATTTACAGAAAGATATAGTCTTGTGAATAGAAGACATGATCCCAAGTTCGTCACTGAAACGAACACAATGGGGGTATTCAGCCACCTTGCAAACCCTGGGTGCAAGCCCACCACTGCCCAATTGCTGGGAGTCATCACCTCCAGGTAAGATGCCATTTAGGATCCATTTTCCTATTTCTCTCTTATTCCTTCAAATACTAAAAATCTTTTCCAATTCCAAGGCCAAAAAACCCCACGTGACAAGAAACCAGCATATCAGAAGGCCTCCAAGAGGAAAAGAGAACGTTCAAGAATCAGATGTCAGCAATTACAACAGGACATGGGGCTGTCACAATCATTTTTAATGACGGGCGTTGTCCTTCGCTCTTGATGGTTCACCATGTGAATGGCAGATTGTTCACAGCCTCCCAGAGGTTTTAAACTAAAGGTTTTATTGTTTCTGTCTTGGAGCTGGCAATTAAAATGCTTGTAGGGGGATGAACATACAACCATGAGAGGACAGCACAGCAGCAAGTACTCTCAAACATGCTCAGCCTTTGGAAAATCATGGTAGGTTTTTTTTCCCTCCTGCAGACATTTCCACATGTCATCATCCACTTAGCAATTCTGCTCTCAAAATTATAAAAAAAAAATCAACCACTTCCCATTTAAAATTTAACTCAGTTGTGGACATTATTTCTTGAATAAAACATCAATAAAAACTATTATTCAGCTACTGTTTGGGAAGAAAAGGAAGGGTGGGAATAAATGTGTGCCTCTTTCTAATATTTTTGGTTCATGAAAAGAAAGGGCCTTCAGTCAGGTCTCGTCTCTTTATAAAGATCATCATCACAAAACAAAATTTCCTGCTAATACAAGCTGAAGTACACAGTGGAAATCTCTTTCCAGACAGGGAATTTAAAGATCTCCCTAGGCTACTAAATCAGTAGTATCTAGAACTGAAACCTTAGCGAAAAACATCACCAGAACACATCAGATTTTACAGAACTTGCCAGCAGAAACGTCACTAGCCAAGACATGGTAGCAATGGAAAGAAAAGAAGCTATTTGATTAGTGAGAGAAGCCATTCCTGAATTATTTACTCATTTTGTCTTAGTCCTTACAGGAAGTGTTCTTGGGCAAGGATTTCAGGGTAAGGTTCAAGGCCAACAACTACTTATGAACGGAAATACGCAGAGATATGTATTCCACCAGTTTCTGCAACCTTCACAATTTGCTATTTTCAACTGAAGAAACTAGAAATGGTTGGATTCTCTCAGTTTTACCTCATAAATTGTGCTGCAGTACAAAAGGGTTTTGTATTTGAGCTACAGCTAACCAGAAATAAACACAGCCGAGAAAAAGAGCCCCAAAGCGCCAACAACTCTCTGCCCTTTTATTGTGATGCGTACATTGCTCAATGCCACAAAATCTCTCTTATTACTTCAGCTGCACAGGGTGACTTGGTGACCTTCCATCCAAAACAGTCTCAGAAGAGCACGTCTAAATTTATTCCCCCTTTGCATTTTCTAGGAGAAATGTGGATTGCTATTACAGTATTACTGCAGAAAAAAAACCTGTTTTGATTGCTGTCACATTTCAAGAAATGACTGTGAATGCATTCTTTCAGTGTATTCCCTATATAAAGTACTTAGGTAGGCAGTTACTCAAAGGCTCTGGCCACCCTCAGCCTTTTTAAGGTGCTTGGTCTTGACTGCACAGATGTCCAAGAACAGCCCCTGCCACACGGGTAGTGGCAGACTGAGCACCAACGAAACCCCCACTTTCAGAAACTGAGAGTAGTGGTTAAATCGAAGGATTACGAAGATTCACAGTTGTAGATGAATATGAAGAAACTTCTCACAGGAACCTAAAGGCAAATAGAAGAAGTGTGGAATGTACATGGACAGCCAAGCAAGATGCCTCAGCAATAAGAAACTTTAAAATAATAGTAACAAAAAAATCGATGTCTTTTTTCACTGTTGTGACTGCCTGTAGTTTTGTGCTGTACTTGTCTGTGCAGATTCGTGCTGGGAAGGTGAGGATCAGGCATGCTTTGCAGTGCGTGCCGCTTGAGAAGGAGCTGCAAATGTTAAAAACACATGAAAACAACACTTATCCGATACAGTTCTCTAACGTTCCCAGTTTGCAGGCTGGCTCAAATTTTGTCAGGAAATACCATTCGTGTCTCTACCATCTCCGAGAAGACTGACACTGAAATAAAACCCAGATGCACATGTTAAGTGACCTGTAGGGCCTCAGCCTTTTGTATAAATTTAATGTTTCAGGTCTTAAACTTTCCCCATCTTCCACCCCCAAAGATACAGGAACCGCTTGGCTGGGGGGGGAAACGCTCTGCAATTTCTGTGTTAGAATTACAGTGCTCTTCCAGTTACATGTAGAACTGGAGTTAAAAGAAAAAGTTAAAAAAAAAGGGCAGCAAAAATGGTAAGATAGGTTAATTCATTTCAACATCTTCATCAACAGAGGTGCCAGATGCTCTTTCAGCTGTGGATCAATTTGAATGTTGCTCAGTTCTTTGATATTAAGGATCATCTCATGGGCTTGGAAGAAAAGCTCTTTCCCCACAGCATCCTCCACCCGCCTGCGCCATTCCATCAGCCTAGGTCTGTCTTCAAAGATGTCACAACCAACTCCAACAGGCTGCAGAAAGGGGGAGAAAGCAACAGTAAGGCGTTGGGCAGTCGCTTTTTCACCAAGACAACAGGCACCGACAGCGTACCTGCAGGTACTGATAGAGGAAAAAAAATGAAGCAGAGCTCACAGAGGAGACTTCCAAGGAAAGGAAATCTCCTCTGGTCGGGTGTATCTATCTGGGGGACACAGAAGCTAGCCTGTATTTTAAAGGGCACTTATAAGTCAATTCCTGAGTGCTGGAACAGCCGTTACGAGCAGCAGAGATGACTACCACTTATTGTGAGTGATTTTCAGCTACAGCATTGAAGACGTGGTGGGCTGACAGTTCAAGGGACAGCTGCACAGCCCGCAGTACGCAGTGCTATATTACAGAGCAAAACCACAGCACAAAACACTGAGTGTTTAATTGAACTGATGTCTTAGTTGACATAATCTATCCCCCTTGTACTTTCTGCCTGTACCACTCTCTGGAACACAATGCTGTAGAGAAGCAGAACTGCCATTTTTCAGTCTCTGGGATACAGAACTGTGAGAAAGAATGACTTCTGGGCTGCAGGATCCAGGCCCTGATAGTCTGGCAGAGAACAACCAGTTTGTAACAGACTCAATTTAATTGCTTCTGTCTGAGATTTGGTCTTGCATCTTCCAGACATGGCATGGGCAACTACCATTTGAAGATGAATATTCTTGTATGATAAAAATATTCCTATATGATTTCATCAGACCTGTCTGCTATTGCCTCTCAGTTTTAACCTCCTTCTCTGGAGGATAAAGAATGAAGGAGAAGATGAATTGTTAGAGAAGAGAAACAAGAGATCTGTTCCAGCCAGCTTTTTTTCAACTGATTTTCTGAACCTACTCCCATATTCTCCTCATGGTCTTAGGCCAGTTCTGTTGATATGCCCTCACTCCTCTTTCTAGTGAAGTGTTACCACATGCTGCACCACTCCCTGCCCAGCAGCATCTGTTTCCCCTTGTGATGAGACTTCCTTACCACACTCCAGCACTCACTTGCATCAGCTCCACAATGGCCACAAGATCTGCCAGAGAGATCTCACTCCCGATGATAAAAGCCTTGTCTTGCAGAAACCTCTCCTCAAATTGCTTCAGTGAAGTGGACAGCCCCTCCATAACCTCCTGGAGCTTCTCGGAGGGCAGCGGCTGCCCTGTGAAGAGGGGAATCAGCACCTGAGGAGAGAAGGCACAAGAGTACGATTGTCCATACCCTCATGGATCTGGTGGTTGTCATTTAAGTCACACTTCATGAACTACTTATGATCACCAGTGATCCTGCAGCAAAGCTGCAAAGCTGCAGCAGGGGATGACGCTAGAGCTTCACCGACTGCTGCAGTTCCAAGTAGCTCATGGCCAGGGAGCACACAAGCAGTTCTAAGCGGCTGATCTGCCGTGACAGTAACCTCCCGCTAACGGGCAGCAATGCACAGAATGCAGTCAAGGACTCAGCTCGTAACCCACCTTGGTGGTTGACAAAAGAAAAAACAGGCAACAGCTCCAAGGAAGGCAAATCTCTGCCATCGTCACCCATGTTATGTCCTCTGTTTCAACAGCCTGCCAAGATGGGTGAGCAGGCTGCCTGCCCACCAGGCACCCCTGCTACCCACCCTGTTGTATAACCGGGTGCTGGAGGCAGGCAGGCAGCTGCCTGTCCTGCAGGGTGATGGAAAGGAGGGCATGGTGGTGGCTGTGGCAAGGAGCGTAGGAGGGACTGGAATGCATCAACACTGGCTGGAGAGGCAGGAAATAGCTTCCTCTTCATGACAGCAGCCAGTGAGGCTGGGAGTGGGTAAGCATCATTTTTACACCAGCCTTTCTGTGGCCTCCTAAACATCATTCTTAAAACCACTAGGAATTTTTCCAGAGCAATCGTATAACTGTGGTCCTTGTCTCCATGAACTCGCTGGCACAGCGGGTAGTTGCCTTTCCATGAGATTTTTGACCATTCAGAGGTGCATGCACCATCAGAGCCCACAGTGTTTCACAACTACGCTGCCTCCACCTACCACAGCTAAAGAAATACAGTTTATTTAGAGAAGCAAAATTAAAGATACAAATTTCCATCGGTGGGAGTGGACTGAATTTCCACTCACTGCTAGTATATTGAACAATTCAAGTTGGGATTGCTTAATCCGAGCCAGGAGTTTTTGCCAAATACATGTGGAATCTATTTAATCAGAAAATTCATGGCCAGTTCTCTTCCTCAGTGGTTCCAATTATGCATGATGGGATCTCTGGGTATAATCACTTGAAACAGCACCTTCTTCCTTTTCTGTGTCTCAGAGCAGTCTATCCTCTCCCATGTCCTGCTAACATGCCTTCTGTTACATGGTGGCTTTATACATTTCCCTATTTTCAATTATTCTGAGAATGTTTTCTGTATCTGCATTATCTAGTCATCAGCAGCAATTAGTTGGATTTCTTTCCCTTGGAGCACTGCAATAACAGCCTGCAGAGACTGGAAGAAACTGCTTCTTGTGCGGATCTGACTCATATTTGAATTGCTTCTCTGTGCTCCCTAGCCAAAAATTCAAATGTCAATAAATCAAAAAGCTAAATGAGTCTTGATATGCTTTGTTAGGCACAAACAAGGGCAAACTTTACAGAGGAACAGTGAAGTTCTTACCTGTTTACCGGCAACCCTGATTTCATCTGAAATTCCATACCATAGCCATACTTGCAGGGCTATATTTGCAGCTGGGTCTCTCCAAGGAGAGTTGCATTAACTGTCTGGTGAGTTGGCTGGAAATAGGTGTCCAGCAAAACCATCTCATACTAAATGATTTTCTGCCTCAGGGTGATTCTGTTAATTTTGCCTAAATGTAAATTGATCTGACCACACTGAATAAAGAAATTCTGCCATTCTCTCTGTGTGTCTATTCTGTCTATCCCTGAGCCCACTTCAGAGAAGTACCTAAGTGTGCTGGAAGCAGAAGGCTCCTTCTGGATTTCCACCCTGATGGGGCTGCAGGGACTCGTAAGAAGAACGCAAGCCTTTCTGCTTCCAGCAACAAAGCACATGCTCATCAATGAAGCAAAACTTCTGCCTGTGTGCACACCCTGCACAGCTGTGCAGTGAGGGGGAGGCCCTTGGAGGCAATATCCAATCTGTTCTATACTCATTCACAAATCCAGGCAACTGAAGTCTGTTGGGCTTTGAGACTTTCTGTACCAGACCTAGTTAAAGGAAAAAACCAAAGTGAACAAAGCTGCTTTTGCCAGGTCCTGACATTGAGCAATTAGAAACAGCTCCCTCTCCGACAGCTCCTCCCAGCTAGGAACGGTTTGTTACTTCAGCATGACGAGCGATCTCTGAATTGGAGCTGTTCAATTGCTCAGTATTCTGCCAGGAAATCATCACTTCACTTGCATTTCAATATTCAGTCTCCTTACCTTGATCCACATGGTCTTGGGAGCATTAGCTCGGATGTTAGCGTGATGCCATGAGAGGTATTCATCTACTTGGGCCCGTTTTTGTATGTCTGATGGGTACCAGTGGTCGGGAGTGTTGTACTTTCGACTCAGATACAGCAGAATGGCAGTGCTGCTCAGGCATTAACGAGACAAGAAAGGGGTCAGGGAGTGATGATGCAGAATGCTTTCGCCTAAGCTCCCTCTCCTACCCCTTCTGAACTTGCTGCTTCCACTAAAAAGCATTCAGATGAGGATTTCTGATGGAGTCCAGGGACCATATATAGGCATCTAATTCATGTTGACATCAGAGATGGCACTTAATCACCTTAGCTCCCTCGAGAACTTTAACCAGCTGGAAAATCAGAGCACTGTTCTCTGATGCAGAGTACTGCTGGGCAGTACTGGAGTAAACAAACAATAAACCTCCACAGTCATCGATCAGCAATGTTAACCCCACTTGTTCCTGACTGTTCTGACCCGTCTCTCTGAGACCTGTGCATGTTTCTGCACTTGTGTGCTAAATGAAACTCCCTAATGGGTTGTGTTGCCTTTCCATCAGATCGGTCTCTAGCCTGCAGCTTCCACTGAAGTCAGTGGAAGTCCCAGCAAGGAAAGCCCACAGAATCTTTTTGTGTTTGTCCTGATGTTTATACTTTCACTAATTGGCAGGAGAAGCTAGATGGAAAAATATCTTAGTCATCTGCAACAATATGTAGGCTGTTACTACAAAAATAGATGGCACACAGAAAATCCTGTGCTGGCAAAATGGAAGAAAACGCAGACGCTCCTACTATGCTGATACTACTATAGTCCAATTATTTCAGTATAATGACACCATTAACCAATCTCCATATTAATCTTATAATGTAAAACCTAAATTTTATCTCTGTAGGTGTTCACTTGGCCTGTAGGACTAGTTCGGATAAACAGAATTTTTTCCTAGGGTAAAAGGGATTTTTACAAGCTTTAAACATTTCCCAGAAATGTTTACAAACCCATTTTGAGGTAAGGGCATTCAGGGTAAGATCAAGAAGTTAAGTCAGCTGATTTGTTTACATTCCGAAAGATAATTCAAACAGAAACAGAGCAAATGAGGTTATACTATTAAAAATAACCAACATCTTCATAAATTCTGTGATCCTTAATCATTCAGTGGGAGTGACATCTCCTAAATGCTGCACAGATTACTAGTACCCAAGGAAGTCTAAGGATGAGTTCTTACCATTCTGCTAGGGTGAAGTCTCCGTCCTTTAGTGCTGGTACTTTCTTCAAGAGGCTGACTTTGCCAGCTCCTTCACTATTTGATGGCCCTAAGAACACGAACAGACAAGTCAGAGGTTAGAAGTGTACCTGCCATTGAATGATAAATTAAATACCTGTAGCCAACTGGACAACCAGTGAACTGTGTTAGGTTTTCCCTATTTCACAATTTCCCTACTTCACAATTAAAAGGTAATGAAATTGAAGAGTCAGTGTAAAAGCTATCTGCAGAGGGCAGTCGGCTCAGGCCAGGCACAGAAGCAGTTCACATTTCTGTATGTGAATTCTGTTGCTTGAGTCAGGCACCAGTAATACTTGCAAAACTTACTGACAAAAATCACTCCCTGAGAGGCATTTGGATACCACAATGAGGGGACTGGTACAGAAAACACTATTGCAGATAACCAGGAACAGCTGACTTGACTTGAGAACAGCATGCCCTATGGCTTTAGAGATAGGAGCAGAAAAGACACGAGTTAGGATGAAGACAACTGAGTACCTAAAAAATACTTAATATTTGCCAAGGAAGCAGGGTCTGGAAAAGTTGAGTTTGCATGCAGAGCATCCTAACGTGGGCAGATGGTTGCTACTGCTGCTCCTGTTCCCACAGGCAACACCAAAACAAATTAATTTTCCTGCAGTTTGTAAATGTGGCCGACTCGCTAGGACGGAGTCAAGATGGAAAGCAACTGAAAAGCCTTGTGCCCACAGAGATCACTGTCAGTGGCTACTTAATCAAAGAGAACCCGGCTGGCTTATACACACACAGAGCAAAACTCTCCTGTTCGTTTGTCTCTGAAGAGCAGAGGGAATTGAGCATTTACAAAGAAAGCGAATGCTGTCAATAGAACTGATTTCTCGGCAGGCACGCAGCTGAGGATGTTTCCAGAGTTTTTGGTGGGATGGGAAAAACATGAATGCCAGCAATACAACAGTAGCTCCTGACACAATTCACTCTGCCACAGTGGACATTCGCTAGGGAAGCTCAAACACCTCTACCCTGCATTACTCTGTGTAATTTATATATTACACATAGCCGGCTCTGTGTTACTCCTGGCTCTGCATGTCAACACACCTCCATCAGGGAAATGCAGGAGGAAGACATCATCCCATAAGAGTTTAAACTCCACAGTCCCCTGGAGTTTGGATGCATTAACAGCTGACTATCTAATCAGGTTTCAGTTTCCTAATGCAGGCACTGGACTTAACAGTCAGCAGTTAAACACCAGGGAATTGTACAAAAGTCCAGGAACACCTACGTAAGAAAAGGTGTGAGGAGTTTGTTTTGCTTGTTTTAAGTGCTCTCTAGAACAGGATATGGCATTTAGGGTGCAAATCCTGATTGAATCAGCATGACCAGCAGGAGGTCTTGTACAAAAATCCCTTTGTTCAAAAAAAAAAAGGGCCATTAACTAACAGACAGTGATCAACACCCCCAAGAACTATTTGCTCCCACTCAGGAGGCAGTAGCAGTGTCTGCTTAATTGGACAAATGTGCAACAGGACATAGTCTCCAAGAAATAAAACCAGCCTTTGGACTATCAAGTTTGCAGTTGGCTTTGGAAAGGGGTGGGAGAAAGGAAAGCTGCTGCATTACAAATTACAGACTACTTCCCCAGTATTGATGAGACAACTCGAGCAGGGCAAACATTACCATCTTCTCCTTTCTAGCTGACTAGCCTCTACTTTGTCTCTTCTTTGAGAAGTGCTTTTTTAAATTCCAGTGTAAGCAGGTTCATCAGAGACTAAGGTTCACATCTGTCTGCTGCCTGAAGGGATTCAAACCCATGTTTTCCCTATCACTGAGAAACGTCTCTGGCTACCTGCTGTGATGGTGGCCTCCAGCTTAGCTGGGCGAGAGGTTCCACGTGCACAGCAGAACCAGGCAGCACTGTCAGGGGAGGCAGGAAGAAAGGACTTAAGAATAAGAGCCAGACAGAAAGTTCAAGTTGAGCCTAACAATTGAGAAATTTTAATATAAAAAAATATATCCCTGAAAATCAAGGCAGCAGGCAAAGTACAAGGGCAAGGTGCCTTACGCCCATGATTTAGACCATAAAAACAGTGAGGCAAATTTGTGTAAATCTACTGTCATGCAAGAAACTGCCCTGGGAAGGTGCTTGGTCCTGTGCTTTCAGAAGGGCTCCAAAGGCCAGTGGTCATCACACACCCAGCTCTGGTGAGATCTGTAGAGTTCAGGTGGTCCCTCGGAAAAATGCAGCAGAAAGTTGCAAGTCAATAATGCTTACAACTCATGAGCCGTCAGTTCTAAGACCTAGCTGTTTGGTTGTTCTGCTGCCTGTGTTCATTATCCAAGGTAACGGGCGACTGAGAAACAACAATATGAGAAGCAAGCAGTGGGTGAGGGCAGCCTGAATCAGATTTCAGCCTGCTTTCAAGGCGCAGCAGTCCTAGCAGGAATACTGAACATATTAGTCCCCTGATGGAACCAACATGTCATCACAGCAGGCTGGACAGGAGGTCAGTGTCCGTTACACAGACTGCACCGTGGCCCAGAGATAGCACCTTATTTGCTTTGGCTCCTACAGGGTCTTTGCGGACAGACATAAAAGACCTGTGCTGAGACTGCCACTGAGCTGCAAACTGACAAAAGCCTTGGTATGAACACTAACTCCAGGCTGCTTCATTGAGACCGATTGCCTATTGTACTAAAATAGAGACCAATATTTGTATTTGCCGTTTAGCAGAGCCTACGCTCTCTTCCAGCAAGCAGAGCCAGCCTTTTTGTTTAGTGGTATCAAGCGGCCCATCTTTATCATTCCCATGATGTTGACTTGACTTATCATGCTGTTTAACACCCGCTGCATTTAGTGTAATTAGTTCATGATGTCCCTCAAGGATATACCAAAAATACTCAAGCAATATACGTATTGCTGGGCTTTGAGGTGTAACTTTAATAAGCGGAGTGTACACCGTCAAAAAGCACGGCAGGCTTCACACAGGAGGAATTGTTAAGCATAAGTTGTAGTGCAAGGAAGGAGATTTACTGGTGGGTAAAAAAAGCAGTGGACAAGTTTTCACAGAAGTAGAAAGGAGAAAAAAAATCAGTCTATTTGCCAATCACGTCCCTGCCTAACCATCTCCTCAGCCAAGGATTTCCAAGTACTCTGCTTTGCCTTAGGAAAAAAAAAAATAACAATTTACTAGGAAAATGCAATATGTAAATAGGCAATAGTCATCTTAATACAGTTGGACAAGTCTGAACAGCTGAGTGTTTCTACTAAGCACGCTGTTCCCAGAGCACTCCTCGGCTGTCACTGTGACTAATTTGCTAGAAATGGCTGGAGGAACATTCCTTGGGGATCCACGAAAATAGATGCAGCACAGCTACGAGACCGCTCTGGGAAGGAGAGCTGCATGGTCAAACCCACTGTGTTCAGGCCCCTCGGCAAAGCATGCACTGAAAACCCCCCGGGTCACCGGAGGAGCGAGTCCTCCCCTCCCAACGGGCCAAGCCGAGCTCCCAGCGGCTGGGAGCCCGCTCAGCTCTGACGGGCCAGGCCGGCCGGGCCTGACCTGATCACCCTCCCCCGGGCAGGACGGGCCCCTGTCGCGGAAGGACACCGGACAAGCGTCCTCCGAGCTCGGGGCCTCCGCATCCCTCTCGTAAGCGGGTGACCTACCGCTTCCACTGCCTCCGGCGTTTTGCTGCCTCCCAGGGCTCGGGCGCTTCCTCCTCCGGCTGAGCCTCCCCAAACGTGGAGAGGTCCCCAGCATCGCCACTGATGGGAACGGACCAAACTGGCCCGCGCCTCCCTATGGGCACAGTCTGAGCCGGTTCAACAGCTCGCCCGTTCCCAGAGAGGC